CGCCAGAGCCCCCTGGCGGCGCCTCCGACGCCGACCCTGGCGCGCTCCGCGCGCCAGGGAGGCGATCTCTGCGCAGATCCGAGAAGTCCGCGCGGACCCCAAGAGTTTATGCTTTCTGCCGTCATTTGGTTCCCAGCCGTTCCCTTCCCCTCGGGCCTTTCTCGGACAGAGAGAAGGTAGTGGGGTCCACGATTCGACTGGATCAGGTGTGTCTTGCCTTCGCATCTTGCCTGGGGTCGGCTCGATCGTCGTTAGACCGCGGGGGTCTATCCGAGCTGTCGTCCTTCTAGGAACCCTCGAAGCCGCGATTCGATCGCTCTCGGCTCTGCTCCCTACACTTCAGTCGTTCACGAATGGTACAAAATAGTCAGGTTTCGTTTTTTGTTGTTGTTGTTTTTTTTTGATTCTGTCTTGACAGTTGTTTATGACTCTTCCAAGGTCCGCCTGTGGAAGGCATGCCCGATCTCATCCTGCACCCGAGGCCCTGTGGCTCCGCACTTTTTTTTACCAGCCGAGAGGGTCCCTGTGGCAATCTCTGTGACTCCGCACGTCTGCACCGGTCTCGTGGCTGCACGCTCCCGGGGCTGCACCGGAGCACGGGCTGCACCTGTCTCCCGGCTGCATTGTCCCACGCCTCTCACGGCAACCTGTGCCCTGGGCTGCTTTTCAGCACGGGCTGCTCGTGGCCTGCGTCTGCATCGTGTCTCCCCCGTATGGATCAGGAGGGGAAGAAACACACAGACACAATTAATCGTCGATCCCCAGGAAAATATGGGAAAATATGGGAAGTGGTGGGGAAGACAAAAACCAAGAAAATATGGAAAAATATGGGGGATATTTTTATTTGTGTGTATTTATTTGTGTGTTCTGGAGCCCCTTGTATGGATGCGGCTGGGATAACCAGTTCGGTGGATGCCGGGGTCCAGTTGAATCGTCGACCCCCCCCTTCCCTTCGAGCGGCCGAGCGGTCGTAGTGCGATGGTGCATGGCAGCTGCAAGGAGGAGCCGCTCTTGTCGACCCCGCAGCGCAGCCTGAGCTTCTCCTCCTGCCAGGGCTTCCCGGAGTGCCAGGGGGACCCTGGCTCTCGCGAGGAGTTGGCGAAGAAGCACCCCGAGCACGTGGGCAAGGCGGACCTGCGCGTCGCGGTGTCCAACGTCGTCCTCTCCGTGTTGGGAGCCGGCCAGCTGACCTTACCCTACGCTCTGAGCCAGCTTGGCTTGACCTTCGGTGTTCGGCGGCGAAACCCTACCCTCGCCGATCAACGATTGAGGCAACTCGATGTGAGGCGGGGGTAGGGTTCGGAATTCGTCGATCATGTGGCGATATCCGAACCCTTCCCCCGCCTTTCATCGATTCAGGAGAAACGACGGTTGGTGGGGGTAGAGTTCGGATGTCGCCACCTAGGTGTCGTGTGCCTCGTCGTCTTCGCGTTGCTGTCTGTTTATCCGCGCAGCTTGTGCCGTGCCGCCGATCTGAACGGGGTGGGGTTGGCGAGTTCTCCCAGCGCCCTTCACCCCCCATAAGAGGGAATGGTGGTCCCCCGGGGAGGAGGAGAAGAAGGATCTGGGACTTCGCTGCGGCCACCGCTCCAGTTTCCCCCCGCGCCCCCCTCCCTGGATGAATAGGTTTAGACGCCGAACCGCCATTCTACACAAGAGGACATGTCGGAGTATACGCATTGGTCGCAGGGGTGAATGGAGGATGAGTGTAAAGGTAGTCGGAACGGGGGTCTCCTAGATGATGGCGCGGAAAAGGACGAAGAGGGAATCTAACATCTTAAACGCAGTGTCAACCCTTGCAATCGGGTTCGGCATATTCGTGCCACACCCTGTCCGTCCACGCTGTGAGTTTGCAGGACACTCCGAGGCCAGGGGACGCAGGAAAGTTTCTAGGACGGGAGGGAGGTGGTGAGGGGCGAAGGATGGGTTGGATAATCAGTGGGTTGAGAGGGAGCGGGAGAGGGCGACAAGAGCGGGAGGGATATGGTGAAGAGTGGGATGGGAGATCTGGGGGTCAGAGAGAGAAGGGAGGGCACTGCGAGTGCATTCCCTTAGACCCGAGGTTGCGAAAGAATTGCAACATCGCCGCAACAAAAAAAACAAGACCGGAATCATTGTTCGAGCTGGCTCGATCTCTGATGGTCTCGAGGCCCGAATCCAGGCTAAAGGCGAAGACGCCCAGTGAAAACGAGCAGATGCCAGGCCCGGATCTCGGGGTTGGCAGCCGCCCGCCCCCCGAGTTGTTGCCTGCTGTCGTACTCCGAGATGGTCGTGCGGGCCATGGGCAGGGCCGGGGAGGAGCCACGCGCTCAGACGGCACCGATCGTCAAACAGGGCTATAGGATCGGGATAAATCGCTCCAGAGCGTTCCGGAGCGCTACCAGAGCGTTCCGGAACGCTCTGGAGCGGCCGCGGCGCCCAATACATCCTCCAAACCCGCCGATTCTCAGAGTTTTCGAGTTATCCCGATCCGATTTTGTCCCGATCTTAGCGTCGTTTTAGATCGGTCGGTCAGGCCGCCGATCCGGCCGCGGACCTGGCCCCGCCGAGCACGGGTCGGCATCGAGGCGCTCCGCCGCAGGCCCTGCAGGCCGTGCCCGGGCAGGGCCCGCCGTCGGGGCGGAGGGCGGGCCGCGGAGCGGGCCGCGCGTGCGGGCCGCGGATCGGGCCGGGCGTTCGCCGCGAAGCGGGCGCGGGTGCCGAGAGAGAGAGAGAGAGAGCGCGGGGAAGCGAGCGTTGCGAGAGAGAGAGCGGGGGACCGAGCGTTGCCTCAGTGTGTGTGTGTGTGTGTGTTTGTGTGTGTGTGTGTGTCTTCCCGGGGCCCTCCGAGGGCCCCGGGGACGGTCAGAAGACTGCCCAGGGAAGAAGTCGGTCTATGAGTTGATTGTCTGACCGTCTACACGGGGTCGGCCATCATTGTCCCTCTCCTTTGTCTTTCCACGCCCTTGTGCCTTCCAAGTGCGTTTTCCCAGCCGCCCTGCTCGGAGAACTGCCACTGTGCACCTTTTCTCTGCCTACGTGTCCCGATGGATGCTTGGCTTCGCTTCGCTTCGCGCGCGCGTGTGTGTGTGTGTGTGTGTGTGTGTGTGTGTGTGTTGGGGGGGGAAGACTCAAGATGAAAAACTGGTCATTGAGAGAGAGCCCCCAGAGTCCAGGGGACCGTTTTCCATGAGAACCCGTTTGCTTCATGCTAGAGGTTTGCAGGTATGCGATCGCCGTCAACATGTTTTTCCTATTGCTGGCCGGCTTGCACGGAGTTCTGGGTTCGCTTGGCGATCTCTCACTCGCACTGTGGCTTTACATCGTCGTGGTGTCGATCTCTGGTGGTCGCGCTCCCTTCTTCTCCTCCTCCTCCTCCTCCTCCTCCTCCTCATCTTCCTGAGTTGTTCTCTGAACAGGGTTGCTCCTTGGAAGCGTCGGTGGCCGCCCGTTTGCGTGGATATTCGATCTTCCGTTGACGCATCGCGCAAGCTCTTTCCCCACGGGGCAAGCTGCCTCCGTGGGGCAGTCGGAGCTGTCACCCAGCAGTCGCACGGCGTGGGCTCCTGGATGACGCAGCCGCGGCCACCTCCGCCGTGACCGACGTTCATGTGCCCCGACTGCCGCAGCGCCTGCCCCGAAGTGCCGCCGAGCCCGGCGTGCCCGGACGCGCCGGCGCCGAACCCGCATGTGGACCCCGCCGAGGCCCCTGCGGTGCCGCCGTCTGTGCGGATTCCTCCGTCGGTCGCCACCGCCTGGGCGACGACGGTGACGGTGCTGGTGGCGGGCTTCGCTCTCGGCGACTTCGGGAGGGTGACGGGGATTGCTGGTGCCGCCGGCGCCGGGCTGGGGGTGGGCGGGGACGACCAGGTGGGGCACTTCCTGTATGCAGTGGTGGGAGCGCCCCCGTGGCGCCAGCGCCAGCTGATGGAGCGGGGGGTGCCTTGTCCGAGTGACGTCGACGAGGAGTCGCCCGACCAACAGGTGGAGTGCGAGGTGGTGGATGGCTCGACGGTCGACATCGGTGTTGTGAGGTGGGCGCCTGCGCCGGCCCCGCGGCCGCCGGCAGAGCCGCGCGGCTACCGCTTCGCAGCCGCCCCGACCGCGGCGGAGTTGGCTGGCCGGCTTCCCGAGGCCGAGGCCGAGGCGCGGTGCCGCTTCGGTCCGCGACGCTCCACCTTGCCGGCGCCGATGCCCGTCCTCGAGGCGTGGCCCTGGGCGCGTGCGGCGGCGCCTGCCGCCGCCCCCTGGGCCGTCGTGCCTGCGCCGGCCGTCCCGGCAGCAGGTGGCGTTGGGGAGGCCGCCCCAAGGCTTGAGGGCAACTGGCGACCGGCCCAGGAGCAGAGGGGGTGCTTCCATGTCGACGTGGACATCCCTCCTGCGGGCCTCGTTGGGTCAAAGACGCCTCTGTGGGGGTTGCTCGCGCCTGTGGGCGGGTCACCGTGTTCGTCGAGCGGGTCGACACGGCGGAGGACGCCGAGATTGCCGATCGTTCAGTGGCGCCGAGCCGTCGGCTGCTGCCCGTCCGCCTCGACTGCACGGGGGAGCTGCGCTGGTCGCCGGACCACATCGTGCAGTGCTGCAGGGAGGGGCCGCTGAGAGGGCCGTACGCTGAGGAGCCACTTCGAGCATTTTACAATGAGTTGTGCGGCTTGCAGGACACTCCGTGGGGGCTGGAGGAGTGCGGGAGCGCGATCGGCTACGTGGGGGGGGTGCTCCAGCGCGACCAAGTGGACGCGGCCAATATTTTGGCCGATGAGATGAAGTTGCGCCAGCTCCCGACCATCGAGTGCTGTTACCGCGACGAGCTGCGGGAGAGGTCGGCGGGCTCCTCGGGGGCCCGCCTCACCGAGGACGAGCAGGCCTCCCTCGGCGCCGCCGCCCGAGTCGAGTCGAGGCTCATGGCGCTGATCGGCAGGGCCATGCAGGAGCTGGAGCGCGACGCCGAGTTGGGCAGGGGCCTCCAGACGGCTCGGGGGGCCCAGGGGGCGCAGGGCAAGAAGAAGCAGGGCCAGGGGTGATGGCCGACTTCCCCTGCCAGACGTCCCTTAGGTCTGGCGGGGGAGAGCTCAACGTGACTGGGGCTGCTCGGCGCAGCGACCTGCGCCCGGGGAGTGTGGGCAGGAACGCGAGGGGGGCCCTGGTGCCTTTCCCCACGGAGCTCCTGACCTCGCCAGATCCTCCTGCACCCAGGCTCTCGCGAGGCTGTCGGCAGTGAGTCGGCCGTCGGCAGCGTCGCCGCGCCGACGTTTTGCCGCGCTTCGAGGGCTAGTTACGAGGTACTCGTGCCATCGAATCTGAGCCAAGGGCAGCAGCGCGTGCTCGAGCACGTTGAATCCTCTGTCTCTTGCCCGGGGCCTCCCCCAGGCGATCTCTCGCATGCGGCAGCCCTCCAGGCGCTGCGCCTCGGGCTCCCCTGCGACGCAGGCGGGGGCCCTGTGGGCTACGAAGCCTCCCGCGCGTCCGCCGACCCCGGTCGCCCAGCTCTGGGGATCCGGCTAGGCAAGAGTCGTCGCGCGCTTTGTCGCGTCGCAGGGTTTGCCCATCGACGTGGCTCGATTGAAATTGAAGGACTCGGGGCCTGCTCGGCCCTACCCTCGCTCTCCACCTTCCGCACCTTCCGGAAGGTGGCTCGAAGAGCTCATTTTCGAGCGTCTCTAGATGTCTCTAGATGTCTCTAGATGTCTCGAATGTCTCGAGATGTCTCGAGATGTCTCGTTTTGCTTGCGTTTTTATGTTTATTCGATGAAGATGATGATGAGCCTGCGGATGATGATGGTGATGGTGATGCTGATGTTGATGCTGCTGATGATGATAATGTGGGAGGTGATGTTGATGCAGGTGACGATGATACGTGTGCACTTACTTGTTGCAGTGATGTTGATAACGATGATGCTGATAATGATGATGACGGTGATGATGATGATGATGATGCTGATGATAGTGATGATGGTGATGATGGTGGTGACGTGTACTATTGGTGGTAATGGTGATGAGGATGACAACAACTGTGTTAATGTTTATGATGTTACTTGTGGTGATGATGCTGGCTGCCATGGCGGCAGGACGCCGATGATGACAAGTATGATTACTGTTGTAAAAATGTATAGATATGATGTTGATGCTGATGATTCTGATAATGATGATGCTGCTGATGATGATGATGATGATGACTGTGTTGATGGCAGACATGATGACGGTGATGGTGTTAACGATGATGATGATGATGTTGATGATGATGGTGATGATGACGATGATGATGTTGATGGCGATGGCTGGTGCCCATACCACTTCGCTTCATCCTCATCCTCATGATCATCAGCATCATCAGCAGTATCGTCATCATAGGTTTCGATCGTCAGCAGCATCATCATCATCATCATCATCATCATCATCATCATCATCAGTATCATCATCAGCAGCATCATCAGTATCGTCATCATCCCCATCCTCAGCCTCATCCTCACCATCATCACCATCAGTATTAGTCCTCCTCCTCGCCCTTCCTTGTCCTCCTTCATCCTCCTCCCTCGGCACTTCTATTCGCCATTCCTCATCGTCCTCCGCCTCCTCTTGCGCCCCGTCCATATTGGAACCGTCTTGGGCCATCATCGCCCCGCCCCCCCTCCCCCCCCCCCCCCCCCCCCCCCCCCCCCGAGGCCCCGAAGGGCCCGTGCTGATGAGACACTGGGAGGCCGAGCGGCCCTGAGAGGCCCAGGAGGCCCGACCTATAGGCTCGAAAGGCCCTCAAGGGCCATGCGTGGAGGTCCGATGAGGCCCCCAAGACCCCACAAGACCCTACGAGGCCCTATGAGGCCCTATGAGGCCCGAGCCGAAGAGGCCTTAGGGACCCGAGAGGCCCGAGGCCCTAAGAGGCCTACGAGGCCTAAGAGGCCCGAGGCCCTAAGAGGCCCGAGGCCCTAAGAGGCCCGAGGCCCTAAGAGGCCCGAGGCCCTAAGAGGCGGCCTATACGAGGCCCGAGTCTTTGGGGTGCCCTGGGAGGCCCTCGGGGCCCTGGGACGAGGCTCTGAGGGCCCGTCGGGAAGCCGTTCTGGCTCGAGGCTTTGGCGCCGAGCGCTGCGCCCAGCCCGACGTCGGGTGCCCAGCCCGACGCCCAGCCCGACGTCGCCCGACATCCGACGCACAACCCGACTGGCCCAGCATAGATGGGCGGCGACGTCGCGGACATCGTCGCTGCGCTTCGCCTCGCGCCGACGAAGCACAAGACCGCGCTGTGCGATTGGACGCAGCAGGGCAAGAAGATAGGCCAGATGAGAAAAACCCACAGAACCCGACGTTTCCTTCATCGCCCACCGTCGCCCTCCGTTGGGGGCGGCGGTGGGTAATGAAGGGAGCGTCGGATTCGGTCCGAGTTTATCTCATATGAGGGGGGCTCTGCGAGTTCTTGGAGTCCACGGGCTGGTGGCGCGCGGTCAAACATCTGGAGGCCGTGTCGCCCTCTTTGGTGTGGAACATCGGCGACTACGAGCGCGCAGTCCACGAGGTGCACATGGAGGATGAGGAAGAGGAGGAGGAGGAGGAGGAGGACGACGAGGAGGACGACTAGGGGAGCAGACGGAGTAGGGGAGAGGAGCAGGGGAGAATACCATAAGAGGAGGAGGAGGAGGAGGAGGAGGAGGATGAGGAGGAGGAGGAGGAGGAGGAGGAGGAGGAGAAGGAGGAGCTAGGAGGAGGTGGAGGAGGAAAAGGAATAATGAGGGTGAGGGGGCAGCAGAGGATGAGGTGGAGGAGTAGGAGGAGGAGGAAGAAGATGATGATGATGAGGAGGAGGAGCAGAAGTAGGAGGAGAAGCAGGAGCAGGAGGCATGCGACGCGGCTGTGGAGGAGGATGACTGCGATGGAGGGGGTGGGTGGGAGACGAAGAGGTGGCGAAGAATGAGGAGGACGAGAAGGGGGAGGAATATGAGGATGAGGATGAGGAGGAGGATAAGGAGGAGGGGGATGATGAGGACGACGAGGAGGAGAAGAGGGAAGATGATGAGGTTAAGGAGGAAGAGGAGGACGAGGAGGAGAAGAGGGAGGAGAAGGAGGATGAGGAGGAGTAGGAGGAGGAGGAGACGGATGATGAGGAGGAGGTTAAGGAGGAGGGGGATGAGGAGGACGACGAGGAGGAGAAGAGGGAGGATGAGGAGGAGGTTAAGGAGGAGGAGGAAGATGACGAGGAGGAGAAGGAGGAGGAGGAGGAGGAGTAGGAGGAGGAGGAGGAGACGGATGAGGAGAAGGAGGCGGACGAGGCAGAGGAGGAGGATGAGGAGGATGCGAGGGAGGAGGAGGAGGATGAGGCGGAGGAGGAGGTGGGGAGGAGGAGGAGGAGGCGGAGGACGAGACGAAGGAAGAGTAACCATCCCCCCCCATCCGTCCTAGGTGCTGCCCGCCCTGAGCGGCCCATCGGTCTGCGCGGAGGCCAGCAAGCTGCAGACCATGATTGCTGGCTGGCGCCGCATCAAGAGGCGCCCTCCGCAGTCCTCCTCGCCTCCGCCCTCGTCTCCCCCCTCGACCCCCTCGCCTTCCTCGAAGCCCCGCGGGACGGCGATGCAGAGGATTGCGCGACAGTAGCTGGAGGAAGTCAAGCTAGCCTAGCTCGAAATCCGTTGCCCCGAGGGCGAAGGATGTTCGGGCTAGGCTGGCGAGGTTTCCTCTGGCTCCTGTCGCGCAGTCTTCCTCCTCGCAGTCCCTCATGTGCCTCTGGATGCCGCGCCAACCAGCGTCAAGGCTGGGGTGCACGGTGCCGAGCTCGCTCAAGCGGAGGATGGAGCAGCCCGAGGGCGCCTCGAGGCCACAGCCGACGGGTTCGAGTGCGCCCTGCTCGTCGAAGGCCTACAAGGAGATCACGGCCATGTGGGCCGACAGCGACGGGGACGACAGCTTCCTGAGCGACGACGGTGGAGCGTCGTCGTCGTCGTCGTGGTCGCCGCCGCCGTCGTCGTCGCCGTCGTCGTCGTCGACGTCGCCGTCGTCGTCGTCGTCGTCGGCGTGGACGGCATCGTCGTCGTCGTTTTCGTCGTGTTCGTCGTCGGCGTCGTCGATCGCCGCAGTCGTCGCCGTCGTGATCGGTCAGCGTCGCCGTCGTCGTCGTCGTCGTCGTCGTCGTCGTCGTCGTCGTCGATTGTCGTGGTCGTAGCCGTCGTCGTCGTCGATCGCCGTCGTCGGTCGCCGCCGTCGTCCTTTGTCGATCGTCGATCGTCGGTCGTCGGCCTGCGAGCCTCAACGATGTAGCCGTCATTGTCGTCGGCGTCGTCGTCGTCGTCACCGTCGCCGTCGTCGAGGCAGCGAGGAGCTCCCGACGCGCGACACCGCGCCGCCCGCCGCCCAGCCGCTGGCGGACGGCGCCGCGGCGGCGCCGCTGGAGGACAAGCTCGGCGACGACGACTGCGAGTTCGAGGTGCGGCAGTCTTGGGCGCACCGCAAGTGCGACTCGGCCCCATCGCTGGGCGTCATCAAGGCGGCGAGCGGGGCGGCGGTGTTCGTCTGGGACGACGGCGACCGCTGGCTGCACAAGGGGATGAAGTTCGAGGAGGCGGTGGACCCCAAGGCGAAGGAGAAGGAGGCAGCCCTCCTCCTCCTCCTCCTCCTCCTCCTCCTCCTCCTCCCCCTCCCACTCCTCCTCCTCCTCTTCTACACCTTCCTCTTCCTCCTCCTCCTCCTCCTTCTCCTGGTCCTCCTCCCCCTCCTCTTCTTTCTCCTCATCCTCCATTTCGTCCTACCCCTCCTCCTCCTCCTCCTCCTCCTCCTCATCCTCCTCTTCCTCATCCTCCTCCTCCTTCTCCTTCTCTTCCTCCTCGTCGTCCTCCTCATCCTCCTCTTCCTTCTCCTCATCCAGGCCGCAGCGGCCAAGAAGGCCGAGAAGGCCGAGGAGGCCAAGGCGGCCGCGAAGGCGCCCACGCCTCCTGCTCATCCTTGCATTCTCCTCGTCCTCTGGATTTGGAGGAAACGGGGGGACGAGGATGGCGAGGAGTAGGAGGAGGAGTAACATGAGGAAGAGGAGGATATGGGTACGCCC